TAAAATGTGAAATGAGTGCAAACCTTGTGCTGTGAGAGTGACGGTCGCGTGTGGAGAATATGTGAACGAAACGGTATGTTTTAATATTGATTTCACGGGTCCTTTATTAGGTGATAATCGATTAGATGGCGGCTGAGAACTGATGCCATCAAACGATTGTTGGGAAACAGGTGTCACTTCAAACCGAGACATTCGCCTCATATTTGTGTTCGTGTTTTCTTTGGGTAAGGATTGAGACTTTGCCGCCGCCTCAGAGACCGCGGACGCCCTCTCGGCGGCCAACATAAGTGTGTCCTGAATTGAATACCTGCGCCGAACTTCTGTAAGCCGTCGATCTCTGCTGAGTCGTTGACTCGCGAGATATGAGAGCTCTTGTCTCTGAACGGATCCCAAGAGAATCATACAATTTCCGTCTTCTACTAAAGGAAATGATTGTAATTTTCTGTGAGCTTTGAGTAGATCTTTAAGATCACGATATGTGCAGTCACGCCATATATAGGACACGTCCCGAACCATTATGTCCTCGACGTGGATGTGATGGGCGGCCGACGAAGTGCTTAGTATAGGGGGAAGGAATGGAAGTTTCTTGATTTGAATGATGGAGTCATATATAGACAGCTCTAATGTTTGTGAGATTGCATTTGCAATCAACACCGATATGATAACAGGTATGATATGTGTCATCTGACCCGTCAATTCAAATACGATCACAGAAGTGCTTATGGTATGCGTTACAGCACCTGAAACATCAATCAAATTACTACACTTTTAACTATCATTAAACTATTTATATACCCGAAAAAGCAGCCGCACCTAAAACACACAAAGCATTCAGTTATTACAATTATTTCAATACTGTATTTAATTATTTATCACAATAAATCATTACCGACGACAGCATAACCTCCCGGTACTATTGGGTTTCGTGAGCCTCCAAATGATATGCCCGACGGAAACAATTGTGCCATAACTTCACCTAAATCGAGTTGAATTGCATATTACAAAACTCCAATACTGTATATTCAAATAGAATACATACCAACTAATCGACCGAAAGCGGCTCCGATTTTGAACACTATACAAATTAAAATAAAATAACCAACAAAAACTATCAAAAATATTCGGGCCGCTATTCTTGAATAGTTTAAGTGACAATATACGAATACAGATTCATGTCATTTTTACAGCATAATTTATTTTCCGGTCACTTGACTATATTCTGAGGAATTGGACGGTTTGTATTGAACGATATAATTCATTGCATTTAAATCTAATTTTCTTTTTTAATCCCATAGGATAACATGCGAAAGTTGGTGCTATTCTTATGCTGCTATATGAAAACCTATAATTTGATGAGTTCTAAGTTATTAGTTCTAGGTTCTAAGTTATTATAACACTGTGACATATACTCATTGCAACCCTAACCCCCGGTTCCAGAATAGCCGCCCGACTGTAAAATGAATAATGACATATAGAAACTGACCAGGGATGAAGGTTCCATTTGGTACCGGGATTGTTGACGCCAGTATTGACATCCAGAACTAGTCATATAAATGTATGCAAATGTATATTAAATTACTATAAGTATCACTTCTAACTCATGCCTTACTGTCATTATTATATAAAATGAAAGATTAAAATAAATAGATGTGTGTTCTGTAGACCAGTGTTTATTCATTTTTAAACCATCCGGATCTGAATGGTTGTGTCCCCACGTTATGTTACTAAACATCTCGCTTATGGAGTCGTGAGTCGACAACTAGAATAAAATTATTATTAATTTTACACGATTTCAATAAAATCAATAAAGGGTTGTAATAATTATACAATTGTTAAGAAAATAAATAATTTTATATAACATTACGAACCGTTGCGGCCATATATTGGCCCAAAAATAATGGGAAAGAGATTGATGTCAAAAATAATGTAATTAAACCGGGATATAGGAAGCGACTGCAAAAGTTAATGTATATTTTTAGTCATTACAT